ACAGCGGATCTGTTCCTCAGGTGGGAGAGATGCTAATTGGAATATAGCGGATAGGCAAGTATTGATCATTACAGATTCACTTAATTAAGATATAAAAATCAAGTATTCTTGAAAACATTGCCTTGTATTGGTGTGCAGCCCAGTATTTGCCAAATGAAGCCAAAAAATTTGAACTCTTCCACATCTGTCTTTATTAGTAATCAACACTGTTACAGTTTTTTCCGCAAACAGAGAACACAGCCATGAGCCTCATTGCTCACAAGCAATCCTCGCAGTGTCGTAGAGGTGCAAAATGCAGTCTGCCAGCTGGTTTGACGCTGCTGAAAGAGACACATTTTTAAAGGCCTAAATATATGAAGGATGAGATTAAGCTTGTATTTAATGGCATTCTACCCATGGCACAGTTGCAATGCATCAACAAAAACGGCTGATATCCAGTAAGGGATTGTGGCTTGCAGGGAATGGCAGCTGCCAAAAGCAGAGAGGCCATGGAGTAAGATGGCCAACATGCACATTGTTAACAATAAGAAATGTAAAATAAACGTGCACGTGTTTAGTTTGGAATGGGCCCAGAGGTCCTCTAAATGCGATGAGAATCTCCTTAGTTCAGGCCGTCGTGCTAGTGCCTGCGAAGCTGCCTGCTGTGTGGCGCTCTGTCTCCCTAACATGGTTCTGAAGAGACGGTGAAACAACTAATCACAGGAATCACAGGCTTTGGTTGGGGAGCTGGGGAGGAGGGTGGGTTTTTGCACGTGGGATGCTTATAGAAGCATGGAATGAATCAGTCAGTGAGCTGGGACTCGTGTTGAGCAGGATCCGCTGTCCTGCCCCCCGGGTGAGTGCATCACGGTCCCTCTCACAGACCGGGCCGGTGAACTGCAGCTCTGGTCACAACAAGGGGGACAATTGCTAGCAATAGAGCAACACACATAGGCAGCTGCTCTATGTGAAGCTCAGTGCTTCACAGGGTGACTCTCGGTTAAAACAGTGCAGCTTGGGGCACCTTCACAGAACAGATGTGTCTTGTGGGAATGTCCAAACGGTCCTTTGACCACAGAGCTTGGGTTAGATAGAAAAATGACATAACTGAATGCTGAGTGCTAAATAGGCACTCATATTTGCTTACTGAAAATATAAAAAATACTGAAAAATAGGAGTTTGCACTGTGAAGGGCTGGATAGCTTTTTTTTTTTTTTTTTTTTTTTTTTTTTTTTTAGGGAGTTTGACGAGGTATTACCATCGACATTATAACCACAGTGAAAGCAATTACCTTGAAGAGAAAACGTGGTAAGGAGACTGCAACTATTTAATAAGGAGATTAAAAAATCCTTCTAAGTGACTGTTTGTCACAAGTCTGCATAGATTCTTGTGAATTATTTTTTTGTCATCACTTCTACACAGGAGAAAAATGCTTGCTGGAACAAAACGACTTTTATTACACTTATCATTTTAATGGATTTTTGTTGTTGTTATTACCAGACTTCCCCAGCCTGTCATCATTTTTGAAGCTCTTATTTACAGAGCAGAAAGGAGGATCTAAATACATTGTGCACAATGAAAACTGAACAGAAATTGACAGTAATTTTTCCCGTGCTTTTGTTTAATACGTTGAGGCATGAGACAACAACAGCAACAAAAAAAAATGTTGGCCTGATAGTGTAAGTTCACACCAGCCTGGCTTTTGCAGCCCTCTTATTTCCCTGTGCCCCAACTTTGCCGCTGCGGTGACACTTGCAGGCCTGCTCCACCGCGGTGCAGCTGATGCCCTGTCCGTGCTCATATTTTTCTTATTGACAGTGAGTGTTCTTGCCAAACGCCAGGGACCATAGTCACATCTGTTTGTCTCCCAAGCTCGTCTGAGGCTGCTTGGGAACACTTTTTTTCCAGAGGGCAGCTTTAACTAGGCCTAATACTCTGAAAAGCCTCTATTTGTAAATGCATACAATGAGGCGACAAGTTCCTGTTGTCTTTCCTTAAAAATTATTCCATTTGACACTGCTTGCTCCAGTCCCTGTCACCAGTGCATCAAAAGCCAAGTTTTCAGGCAAGGTGGTCTTAACAAGTTTTATTTTTTTCCCTAATAAAATGCCTAGTTTCCCTCCAGAGCACTATTTATAAATGATAGCTAGAAGCAAGCTATGGATAAATAGAGAGAAGTCAGGCAAATAGCTCGTTTCCTTTCTCTAATCCTTGCTATTCTGATTTAATGCTAAGAAACATAATGCTGAAGTTAGCTGGGCTGAGGGTCAGAGCTCTCCCTATGTTATAGATAACCCATTATGAGCATTTCAGAACGCCCTGTGCATGAGGACATATTTGTTTTACAGCTAAAGTTTAATAAATACTGTATTTCTTTTGTCCAACCGGTCCAGGAACAGGGGTAGTTCAGTGCCTGTTTCTCTTTAAAAATGTAGCTCTTTGTGTGTCTGCGATCTGTATCGGCAGCGCGTGTCAAATGTTAGGACCTGGTGCGACTAAATGCGTCTGGAGACTCGGGTGTTGCTCTGATGTTTGATGTTGGTGGCCGTAAAACTGAATTTGACAAAGCTTAATTGCTGCTCTAGCATATTGCTATTTGTTTGTGGCATACGGAGTTTGCAGCAGCAACAAAGAAATCCCTGCTCTCACCTTGGCTGGGGAGCAGATTGTTGTGCTTTGCAAAGACAAATGATTCATTTATGCCGCAGGAACAAGGCTGCCTTTCAGACGCTCATCGATTTTAAATTAAAAAGTAACTGCTATGTTCTACATGAAGGGTGACAACAATAACAAAGTAGTCCTTACTTAGTGTTATTTGTTGCAACTCCATTCCGAGTGCCTAGAGGAAAAGTGGGGAGACCCTAGTACCATAATCTTACAGATCAATAATCTAGATATCTCAATGTAGTGTAGCAGATAATCAATTCTGTGTAAAATAACTCAAGCACTGCTGGCTGTTTCTCCTGTAGCTCAGGGCTTCAGGTTCAATTGCCTGACTTTATTAATTTTTATCTTTCATCCTTCTTGTATTCCTGAATTCCTTCTCCCTTTTCATTTTGAAGAGAAAACATCTAGTCGAAAATCATTTAGCATGCAATTTAATACACTTTTTAAAATTATTTTTAATAAAAATGTATATACATTTCTTATTTGTTTTCTCTAGTATTCTTTTTCCCATTTTTAATTTAAATATTAATCTTTTCATATGTACAATTAAATTCTGGAAGGATCTCTCACATTTCTGAGAAAAAAGTAACAAATGCTGACATAGAGGTGTATTAACTGAAGCAACAGTGCACTTCTGTGTAAAGTTTTTTTTTTTTGTTAGTATTATTTAAATAAATACACAACTATTTCTGTGTTAATTCACATTTCCATTTAAAAGAACTGTGTAGAAGATTATAGACTGTCATCTTTTTCAGCGGGGCACTGTTTCATTCCTTGATATTACTGGGCAGATCTCAGCAGTGTCTCCACATACATGATCATTTGTTTTTCATTTTGAAGCAGCACAGCTTCAAAAAGTTTCTAAATGTAGTAAAAGTCAGGTCATACATCCAAAATGAAACCAGGTCTCTTGAGAGAGAGTGTGTTACTGGGCTGTACAACACTATCAGATGCCATCCGCAGCTTGCAGTTTTATCTCTACACCTCTTTTTCCAGTCTTAATGAATAAGCTCATAAATGCTTAGTGAGTATATGAGATGCTGTGCATTCAATATGTCTTTTTTTGCGTCTGTCTAGTGAATTAGAAACACAAATTGCTGTGCAACAAGTTTATTTCATGTACCTTTTACCTTTAAAGAGTTTACTGTTTCATCTTCTCATTCGCTCTTCATCTTACCTTAAAAGAAATTGGTAATCCTTTTTCCTGTAATAAATGTTGTTCTGACAGTTTTGGCATTATTAGCCAATTGATAACCAACCGACAATATTGTGATCTCTGTAGATAATTAATCTTAGCTATTTTCCTGTCAGAAGCAACAGTGTTTTGTTTTATGTTGAACTAGAAATATTGCCAGTTTTGAAAATTAAAAAGCATTCCTTTCATATTATTCATTCAAGCGACAATTTATGATGCTACATTTAGATACTGAGCACTTGTCAACAAACATAATTATGCTTTGATATAAACAAGATTGGTGGCTTCACTGTGCAGCTTCATCTTCGTTGGGAATGTTTTGATATCGGTTCAGATTGTACAAGCTGTGCGTTTATGTGGTATTTTCCTTCCTTCGCTAATAGTTTTCTCCTATAATTACTTGCAGACAAACCAGCGTACACTTAGGATCGTTGTGTATGGGAGACATCAAACGGAGAAGGAAAGCTGCTCCCCTGCCAGGACCCACAGGTAACCAATTTCATGGGACAGAACACAAAACACAAAGTGTTAAATCTTTAAACACAAAGCAGTAGGTCAGTGACCTGGAGAAATGCTTGATAAATTCTGTAACTCTCCAAATATCTGAAGATTTACCCTATCATTATGTATTAATAGAGATTAAGAAATAAATGGAATCTCTTAATTTTCCTTCAAACATTTCCAATTTCTAGACGTTTTTAAAAGATGCATCTTCCTTTAAAAAGAGTAAATCTTCTTTTCAAAAACACTAAAGATTTTTTATGTTGGTTCAAGCATTGCAAGTTAGGGATGGCAGATGGCATCACCTTCTGTGATGAAGGTGTATGCATGCTGTAAGTATCATGCACGGTACAGACAAAATGTGAATTCTTGGGCAAACAATTGAAAATATGGAGATAAGGCTGTAAAACAGTTTTAAAATTAGTGCTGTAGCACACTGCAAGCACATTTCTGAAGGCTTTTTCACAGATGCGAGGTTACAAGTATTACACGCGCTTTGCTGATGTCACAGCTGTGAAACGGCTTTTTCAATAGCTAGCTGTGATTTATAGGACTCTCATCAGTTTGTTTATAATAATTATATATGTGTATGCTGGAAAGATTAGAGTGTGTGTGTCTCCATGTGAGATTATTTAGTTATTGGTAATATGTGAGTCTCTGGATTGCCCATGGCAGTTGTATATCAATTATTAGAGCAACATATCCTTACATTTATAAGTTTTCAAGTACATTCTAGGTAGATAATCTTTAGAGAAACCTAATATTTGCATTCCAACTGAATTCCCCTTTCTGAAATTTCAGTGTTTCAAACCTCAGTGGCAGAAACAGACCAAGAATAATATTAAAAATGTTATTAAAGCACCTTAGTGGCAGCAGTACAGAAAAAAGAGAATGTATAGGTCAGACTCTAAGACTCTGAACATATGTGAAGTGAGAAAGAAAAATACTTAATGGCTGAAGAGAGGATAATGTAATTATTTCTACAAGGTGATTTTCACTTCCCAACTTTCAAGTACTTGAGGATGTCATTTTGTACTGAGAGGATATGAAGTATTGTGAAATTCATTTTACTATTCATTTTATCGTGGACTTTCAGCATTCAGTATTTTATTTTACAAGCTAGCTCCCCTGTGTAACTTTGCAAAGCCAATATTTTGATACTAAAGCAAATATTTCATATAATCATTCACTATTATGTATCACATCTTCACAGAAGAACCAGATTTTATACCTAAGAATTAGTAGGAAACCTTTTCTCTTGAAAGCAAGAGAAAGTAAGTTACACATTTACGTGATTGTTTCTTGTAGTTTACAATTTTCATTGTGGTAATAATTTCCCTCCATTTTTAACATCATGGGCTATCAGTAAAGGTTATCTGTGAGTGATTAATTGCAAGCTTTTACTTGAGTTATATGTGCAACAATAAAATTTCATCTAACTTGAGTCAATTGCCCTTTTTTTTTTTTCAAAGTATTTTATCTTCAAAAAAAATTATTTGTATTTCTCAAAAAAATGGCATGAGTAGATTTATTCCTGTGGCACTTTGCAGTGCTGAAAATGGTCCTTCATATGTTTGAATGAAGTGCTCCCACAGAAAATGACTGGTGATATAATTAAATATTGAAATATGCTTTCTGCTTTTGAGACTCACAAGGGTAGTGCCTGCTACTTTCAGACAACTTACAAAGGTATAGACTTCTGTAGCAAGCAGTCTTATTGGTTAAACATTTATTAATTGTGACAAGAACAAGCAATTTATTTCAGTACTCTAGCTTATTTACTGCTCTTTCACCTTTGTATTTTGTATTGAAAAAGTAAAATGAATATTGATAGAGTTAGATATTGATTTCTAAATTTATAGCCTGTTCTCAGCCTGGATTCAAAGTCACATACCAATAGGTTTGTGTGTATTAGTAACAAAGGATGTAGATTTACTTGTACAGCAATGAGAAGCTATCGAAGCAAGAAAGTTCGAGCAGCACAAGGCATTTTATGGTTTGAAAGATGTCATCTGGAAAGGTGAAGAAAAGCCATTGAAAAGCAGTGAAGAAAATCCAAGAAATATTATTAGATTTGAATTGTTAACAGCTGACAGTAGAGAATCTAGTGTCCTATTTTGCATTTTCACTAAAATAAATTTTCTTCTTTATGGAGGCTTGATGTAGTCACATCTGTCTGCCACAGAACTGAGGTGGATAATTAATTTTATTAAGTAAAAAGATCCTGGGAAAAAATGTTTACTTTCCATGATTTGGTTTAAGAATTCAGAATTAAGAATTTTTTATAAATCAGTTCCTGTTCCATCCCTGTATCCTCTTGGATTTTTTTTAAATAATAAGCCTCTAAATTTTCATGAAAAGAGATAATTTTCTTTCCCCATTCTGCATGACGTCTGGGGAATATTGTTAATTTAGTTTACAGACTGTAGAAAGTTTGATTCAGAATAAAAAGCATTTTACTTGTGTGCCTGGTAAATAACCATTTATTTCTATTTGAAAATTATCTTTTTGATCCAAGTAGTATGCTTCACAGTTTAGAGGAGGAGTGACTGACTGAGTTGAGAGACCGCAAAATCTGAAATTAAAAGGATAAAGCTATTTCCAGTTAAAATACCAGGATTCTTTAAATAAAGTATATAAATTATTATGCAAAACATTTTTATGGGTATCTTAGCTAATGCTGATTTTTTTTTTTTTTGCAAAAGCAAATTTCAACTGTTGATGTCTTTATCTAGTTGGCAGGTTTTATGCTACACTTCAGGCTCATAGTGCTGGAAATGACCAAGTTATAAATCCCATTTTAAAAAATGTGTTTTAATGAAAAATATGACAGATTCTTAATTATAGTAGAAATACTGAGCTCTGCTATAATGCCATCATGACTCACTTTAACAAGGTAATCAAAAGGGTACATGTTTTCATTCCTTTTTAAAAATTGCCAGTGGAACAGCTAAGCAAACTATTTTGCTGATGCTTAATGTGTCAGTGATTAAAAATCAGACTTGAATATCTTCAGTACCAAAATGATGATTTGAAAACGGTTGTGATTACATTGTAATAGCAGAGGTGGCTGAAGCTAAGTTTATGGTGAAGGTCAACTTATTGAGATAGTTTCAGAGAAAGAGTAGACTTTTGCTTACTTGAATGAACTAGCAATAAATTTCCAAAACACTAGACAAAACTATTTAATGCCTGCTTTTCTTTTGCTTGACTCGCTGCTTTTTTCCTTTTACTAAATATACAAACTCCATTGACAGAAATCCCATTTCCCAGACCAATACAACTCTTGCATGAGTTGTGAAAGTGTCCTCTTTTTGCACTGCGCTATTTCTTATCCTTAATCTACCAAGATTTTTTCCAGGGTACAAAAGCATATCTGTTCCAGAACTTAGCCTATGGATACTCTTCTCTTCTAATCCTGAAGCAAATTGAATTCTAGGACTTCCTTCTGTTCTGTTTTTTTTTTTTTTTTTTTCCTTCCTTCTGCTTCCTTACTGTTGCATACTATTTCACTAAATCAGTTCAAAAACAAAAAAGCTCCCAGAATGTCACTGGCACTTGAAGCTGTAGAGCAAAAGACTTTTCATGTTGAGCTGAGGTTATTTTTCCAGGCAGGACCCCTTTCACTAATCATCATAGTAATGAGGAAAGTTCAGTTTGAAATTTCAGAAGATTCCCACTGTCATAAGAACCAGAGAAACCAGAGCTTTCACTGTGAATTTGCTCTTGCATTTATTGTGATGTAGATGTCTTCTCTGAGAGAATATTCTGCAGGTTCTGCACACAGCCTCAAGAATCCTTCTTTCCTACATGCTGTCTTCTACCTAAATGCAGAAGATTCAAAAATAATTCCCCTGATGACTCTAGGACTCTTTCCTGCAGTAACTGTTTGTTTCTCATTGTGGGAACAGTTCAAACTGTCTCCTTTGGGATTTTCAGTCTTCACTTTCAAGAATGATAAGCAACCTTAACGGAGAATATCAAAAGTGAGGGTATCCTTAAAGACAATGTAGAAGAAAACTTCTGCCAAAGAAATCTAAACCTGCCTTCCCTCCCATCCAGTTCTGGAGATATTTCTCAATAGACAGTTTTACACACACAGAATAACTTGTCTGCCAAGTTGCTGAAGAGTTAAAATCCTACTTTCAACGAAACTGAGAGGTGTCAGTAGGAATATTCGTCTTCCAGATAATTTGTTTGCTCTGTGAGTTCTTCTCTTCCCCCACTAGGAAATGTAATAACGTGATTCCTCATAGCCAGGAGCCGTCTCTGTTCTAGATCATGTTTTTAATTATGGACCTTAACCAGCAAAGGACACAATTGCTGCAGATGCTTTTGCCATTCTGCTGTAAGTTGGTGAAACCAAAACAGTAAAACAGTTCTTTTATCTGGAAGATGCTTGGGAGATAAAATCTGCCACGGAGTAAATATATGTGCAATTTTTTTATTTTCAAACTCCAGCCAAGGCAACTTCTTAGTCCATCTCTCCGCCACAGCCTCTCGGTTGTGTGTGACTAGTTATTCTCTGTCCTGCACTGCTGCCAATAGAAGCAGCCGTAGCTTCTGCAAAAAGCACTTTTCTGAAAGGTTTGTTAGCCTGTAATTTACTTTCTGAAGAAGGAGAGAGGCTTATGTGGTGACTTGATAGCTTTATGCAAAAGGCTTTTGCCACTTCAGAGGAATAAAAATAACTGTTTAATATATGAGAAAATATTTTTATAATGTGAGAATATTAAATTCATTGATCAGGTTTCCAGGCGCAGGCAAGTGTAGATTGCTAGTTTCTGTCTTTCTGTAGAAGCTCCAGAAGGATAGAAAGGGTTCTTAAAAAAGCTGAGATTATTAGAATTTCATAAAGAAAATGTTTGCTTTTGCTTTTGCTTTCCAGTACACAGAGAAGAAATTTTGACTTTTTGATTGTTAGAGAAGTTTACCTTTCAACATTTATCTTGACATTGCCGATGCTAATGTGATGCCTCAGATTTGCA